TGGCGGGTCCGGGCTGGGGATTCGAACCTGCCACCTTAGGTGTACGTGGCTGGCGCCTTAGCCAGTTGAGCTATAGGCGCCGAGCCTGGATCTAGGATTCTTACTGAGCAATCACAGAAGTGAGTACTTGGCGTGGAGAAGGTCATTACCATGACCATAGTGATGGTTCTTTGTATCGGTGAGAGGACCCATTATCAGCAGAAACAGACCAGTCACTTGCTACAGTTTGGACTAGAATTATAAATGTGAAAGGAATATAATGTGTTATTCTGTAAATGGACTAGAACAGTTTAATTTAGAAATTATAATGCTGGTTTTTTAAAAATAATTAGAAAGAATATAGACAGCTTTTTTTGGGTAATAACCTTGGCATATGGGTTGTCCTTCTAAGCCTGTGTCTAACAGCCATTATGAAGAGAATTGATACATTTACATCAAAAAGTAATACTAAACAAGGTAAAATATTTCTATCATGGGACACATATAGGTTCGTTCCATTAATATACAGAGAACTACACATTTGTAAGAAAAAGGTGAACAACTGAGGAGAAGAAATAGGCCAGAGTGTAACAGATCATTCACTGAGTAAAAAGTACAGATAGTCACTAAACTTGGGAACATGCTTATTTTGAGATTCTTCTATCAAACTGGTGAAGAATTCAAACATGTTTAAAATACCTAGTGTGAAGAAAATACCTAGTGGGCAGGTAGGCACTCTCAGGCCAAGCTGGTGAAGGAGAATCTGAAGCTGTGGGGGCCAAACACCATATATTAATATTTACAGTGTATATTCTTTCTGACTCCACAATTCTGAGTTCATCCTTTAGATCTGCTCTCAGAACAGATTTCTGGGTGAGAAAGTTCACTGTAGCATTGTTTATATCAACAGAAAACTGGGATGTAACTGTCTGTTAGCAGGGGACTGACCAAATAAAGGATGAGACAGTCACACAAGGGTCAGTTGAGCTGTGCAGATATGTAGGTGTGATTGTTTTCTAAGCAGGCTCGTCGGCATAGGTTACGTTGTCTTTCTCGTATTTAAACACACAGATACAAAGTGTATTGAAAATTTATTGAAGAATACTCAAAAACTGAATCAAACTCTCCTTGTTTTCTAATTCACATACAGATTTTGTATCATCTAGATGAGGACAGCCATCATAATATATTTAGAAAGAAAAAGACAGAGGTTTTTAGTGCTGATTGTTATGAGTTATCAGTTACATTTTACAGTTTCAAGAACATTTCATGTAGAGCCTGTACCACTAGAAGGAATTCACCAGCTGATGGCCCTTAATCTCAGACATTGTTTAAAAAAGAAAGTATTCATAGTAGTCTTGGTCTTGTTTTCCCCCAGTTATTGGTATTTAAAGTATATCATAGCCTTGATTCTGAAAAGGTTCTTAATATCTAAATATAGACCTTAGAAACCTCTTAGTAAGATCACTGCTTTTTATTCTATTTATTTTTTTAAGAGACAGAATATCTCACTGTGCATTCACATGATCATAGCTCACTGCAGCCTTGATTCACATGTCAAAAGGCTTGTCCTGGGAGGTAGTCGCTGTGTCTCAGAGTTACACAAGCAGACACCCAACTATTGCATTAAAAAATACGAGAAATCATCTGAGTGTGAAGTTGGACTAGATTCTTTTCCAACCTTGCTTCTGTGTCCATGATGCCTCCCTGCGGCCTCCCGACCTGCCTTATCTTTATGTGTATGGATGAGGCTCCAGTGACACAGAGTGTGCAGTGGGGTCGGCCTTCCCTGGGTACTGTGGGCTGCT